GTGTATTAACACATATTTATAAAGAACAGCTTGATGACATTGATCTACGTCCAATAATGTCAACGTTCATAGCGTCCAATGACAAAAGACAAGCTTTTTTGGATTAATAGTTTAATTTGAAATAAATGATTTTTTTGTTAAGAAATTTTTATACTCAATAAAGATTCACCAAGTCTTGTAATAAAGAATAGAGCGAACTAACACGGTATTTTTATAATACTACAATAATTAAATAATATAAAACAACTTGTTACCCGCACTTATTTTCGTCTATGTTAAGGTAATATGTAACAGTTTTCTAGAGTATCCAATAACCTAATACTGATCCTTACCTGATTTGAAAACGTTCCGCTGCCTCTGATTCCAGAGCCAGATTCTATTGAGCCAAACCCTATTTAACCTACGTGTAAAAAGTCTTGATACAAAAGTTTTGTTCGATTTTCGATCACTTGAAGATCGCAGGACAGACACAAAAGTAGTCATTTAGAAAGAGAATTTCATGCTCTTTCTAAATATATATTCAGAATTTTATTCTGGCTTGAACTTGATTCATTAGTAGCAGATATTTGACGGGGACCAAAAACGACGTTTGGACAAAATATTCCATGCAGGTCATTTTTGTATTTTGGTTAAAAGTGCTTCACTTCAAATTAAACGAAAGAGATTTTATACACCAGTTTTTAGAATGAAGCTTGCTCTACAAAATGCTCAATTTACTTGGTTTCTAACATATCATTGCAAGCTATCAGCTTTTCTTGAACGTCAAACAGCGCAATACGGAATAAACGATTATTTTGAAAAATGTTATTTTATGGAAAGAGTAGCATTCCGAAAAATAGTTGTAACTTTTCATCCTTTTGAGTTCTAGTTTATTGTAACTCATAGTTTTGTAGAATATATAATTCTCTTTAACAATATGAAGTAAAAATTACCGTATAATACCTTTTAGCAATATTACGAACGAGAGAAAAATAAGTGCGTTTTACATGTTGCAAACGAGATTTTTATTTATTCACATATTTGTTTACAGCTGACTAACTAAAAGTCAGAGCAAAACTCTAAAGACATATTTAGAAAGATCATCGAATTCTGATTCTAACTGGCTACTTTAGATTCTTTTCGATTACACTCGAAAGACCGAAAAATCAGCAGACATAGTTATCATTACTTTTGAAATTAGTGTTTTATACAAACGTCGTTCTCGGTCCTCATCAAATATCTGCTTCTAATGAATCAAGTTCAAGTCAAAATAAAATTTTGAATAAATATGTAGAAAGAGCATGAAATTCTCTTTCTAACTGACTATTTTTGAGTCTGTCCTGCGACCTTCAAGTGTTCAAAAAAAAATCAAATAAAACTTTTGCATCAAGACTTTTTACAAGTAGATTACTTGCTAAACCAATAATATAGAAAAAAAAAATAGAGGTCAGTAGTATTGAAAAGTAATTTGCTTCAAACAGATTTCTGAAACTTTGCCCCAAAATTAGAGATAGAAGGTTCGAATCAAAATACACCAGTCATTTCAAAAATCTACTACCGAAAGGTCCAAGAATCTTAAGAATAGAAAGTGTAAATCATCACTAGTAAGAAAATAAAAACGGTATAAGAGAATGATTGAACAAGATTCAAAAGTTATTATATTTCTTATTCGATTATGAATTTTTATTAAATTAAGAATCGATAAGCATTTTAACAGAGTTAGAAAACATCACAAAAAGAAATATGTCTAAAATATTGTATCATAATGATATTGTTTACAAAATGTTTGATTTCTCAACGGTATTCAAATATATGTTGGTTGTAATATTTGTACGGTAGAGAATGTTAATTTTGAAAAAACTATATTATACAATACAAAAATCATTTTATGTATTCATTATGATAGGGCCAATGTATATTACGTTGATAACTTAAGTTCTTTACTAACCAACACCGATCTCAAAGTACGACTCAGGTTGGATCACGAAAACAAAATTCGGCCTTGAGTCAAGTCACGCTACGAAATACTACTTTTGAATTTCGGAATAAATGTACAATTCGAACGTTTTGCATATACAAAGGTCATTTTGCGTGTGTTTTTTAATTTAGAATTTCTTTAAGAGAATCTGAAAAAGCTTAGTCGAACCAAAAGTTTTGTATTGCATCATCTTTTCCATTTCACTAACTTTTCTTTATCGACATTGGACAACAATACATGCTTTTCTAGTGTTGTGTTTTTTTTCTGATTTTCTTTCGATTTTTGAACTTTCTTAGATCTCAATTTCATTCGTGATGAAAAATATGATTATAATTCGCTACTTTGATGATGCTCAATTTAAGGGAAGAAGCAATAGTAATTATTCTTTCGAACAATTTTATTTATTTATATTTTCATTCAAGCATACTTCTTAAGGCAAAATCAAAAATATGAACAATAATATACAATCGATATTATATAAGTTATTTTTGTTTCGTAAAATTTCTTAATACACATGATTTATATTTAATTTATCTGTATGTGTTTTTTTGAATGAAATTCGAGTTTAGTGCAAGAGTTCGACACTAAGCATCTTACTGTGCATTTGTATTTCCTAAACAATATATTTATTGGATTTTTTTTCTTTACAGTAGAATACCTATGATTATAAAATATAAGTCGATTGAAAAGGATGCTAATAAAGTGTTTACTATCAGCATATTAACATAATGGTCAATAGTGTGCAAGAAAATGTTTTTTTTTCTATATCATTTCTGATTTCACTCAAAAATATCAAGGACGAAAATGCGACAATAATAAATCTTTTGTTTTCAACTACGAAATGAAGAGAACAAAAAGAAAGAAAAAGAAACCCATTTTCTCAAGAGAAAGACAAGAGTGCTGATATCAAAGTCCGACTCCGATCAGATCGGATCAGATGATAAAAAATAGTCTAGCTTGGGACGGGTAAAAAGTGAATCATTCAAATCGGGTCGGATCAAAAGAACGTTGCCTCTGTCAAACACTGATTAATATTGATAAGCCTTGATTACAGTAAACATTAATGTGTATCGATGAAACAATATAACGAAGACAAAAGAGTATGTATTGAAAGCTCAAACGTCAATCTGTGTTTGGAGTATTGGTTAGAAATAAGATCATCCAATGAGAAAAGAAAACGTCAAACAGCAACTTTTATCCATGATTTTTGCTACCAATGAAAAATATCTTCTCCTAAAATTATAGCAAAAAAAGAATGACGTATATAAAATCCTTTCGTTTACCTATCTCTTTTGCGCATAGTCTATACCTAGCCTCATTATATTGCCAGTTTGTTTTGTATATAAACAGCGTGCATAGGTATACTTCTGTATTCTTATTTTATATCTTTAATAAAAACAAGAATAGACATCAATATGCATTGGCTCTTGGTGGTGGTAGGATGGTTTTTATTAATTAACCAATCAATCGGATGTACACCACCTTCATTTTCAAGCTTAAATGTTGAACGAAACTTTAATCTACACAGGTTTCTTGGTATATGGTATGAAATAAAATGGTACACAACTGTAAATATTCCTCCATCTGACGTATGGACTGATTATGCTCAATCATTTCAATTAAAACATCGTTTTGGTCAAAGTCTTCTTGTTTATGGTAAAGCACGATTACAAACTGCACAAGAATGTTTTTCATTTGGTCCATGGTTAGTACGAGCAAATAATGGTGCAAAAATGATTGTTGAAAAAGAAGATCTTAATAGTAATACAAGACTCAACCGGCCTTATTATGTATTAAAAACCGATTATAAAAATTATGCATTAACATATACATGTATATCAACAAATTATAACCTAAATCAACCATGTACGGAACGAAATTTACATCTATTTAGTCGAAAGACATCTTTATCATGGAGATATTTAGGTCCACTTTATAATTATATTAAAAATGTCTTATGTATTGATCAAACACAACTTACAACAATTGTATTTCATCCAAGAACATGTTTTAGATCTCATTACAGAAACTTCGGTAGCAGCGAAAGACATGGTTAAACGGAAGAACAACTGGAAGAACGTTCATAGACTTAATATTTTCGAACAAACATTACTAAACAATAATTTACAAAATACTTTATCCAAGCATATTTTTTTTTCGCAAATTTCCCTAGACTGAGAAATATCTTCCCAAACTCGCATTTTTGTACACCAGTAGACTTTCCATCTCTAGTTAAACATCATCATTCTCATTAGGATTCCAAATCTTTTCAATATAATATTTTTTAATTTTACTTAATTTATATTTATTCCTAATATACAAATAAATATATCTGACAAGAAAAGAAAAAAAAGAAGAAGAGAGAATTACTGTTGGTGATATTGTATTCTATGGAAAAGAAAACTAAATTAGTAATTTATTCATCAACTTTAGTATAGAGTGAAGGTGATTCTCGTTTGAGTACCTACAAAAAAAGAAACAAAGATGCCCAATCGAACTATGATAAAGAGAAACATATTTATTATATGGAGAAGTGTTTGTGAACTTTCAAGAATTTTCATATCAGTAGATTCAGTTTCACGTATTGTTCGATCAAATTCTGTTTGTGCTGTAATTGTTTTCGTCTAAATTTTCATTAATTTTACCTAGTTTTTCACTTGATGAACGTATTTCATCTTCAAGATTATGCTTGTCTACTTGCTTAATTAAACTTTGTCATTCTAACTCATTACATTTTGCATATAAGTCTTCGATACCTATAAGTAAATGTTTGAAAATATAAACTTCTTATGAACAAAAGAAAGAATGGATATATTATGGTCGAAATTAGACTAAAAATCAACGGGATTGAATGTAAGTGTGTGAGTTTGAGTCGGGATGAGTGGATTTAAGTGTGTGGATGTGGTGTGGGTGCGAATATGAACCGTCTTTCAGCCTCACTCGCACACAGATTAGTGTTGCCAGATGATCGAATCCAAAATGCCGAATGCAAATCCTAAAATCTGGAAATTTTGGATTTTTTTTTGGATCTGGAAAGACTTTCGAGGATCAGTTTCAACTGGTTAAATTAAAATATTTTCAGTGACGTTATTAATAACGCTATTCTTCATTCTCACAAGATATATTCCAGTAGAAAAAGAGAACAAATAGTAAGATATAATTAACTTAACGAATAATTACTCATAAAAATATGAAATTGGATGTTAAACGTGTGGATGTAGATGTAGACTCACACTCAAGTACATGCTACTTCGTTTTAATTAGATATCTCACAATAGTGAGAGAGAAATGAGGGTAAAATACAGATTACTTATTCATCTATTTTACTATTGTTGATAGACATGTACCAATCCCGAGCACAGCTTCGAGTTTTCGAGTCAAACGTGGTAAGATTGAACTCGACTCGAACTCGATCCTGTAAACTTGAACTTGACTTGAACCTCAAAACTCGAACTCGACTCGAACTTGAACATATGAACTCGAACTCGACTTGAACTCGAACATATGAACTCGA